GTTTGGAGTTTATTGTAGGCTCTTGAAGCTTCTTAGGCATGTACTAGAGCTCACTCACACTCTTCTGACCAATCCCATTTCCAGAAAACAACATGATTCATCCATCGGCAACTTCCAAGCAATTGCATGGCTGGGGTCAAATGAAACTGATGACATTCAAACCTGATCACTCCCCCTGACGGGAGTTTGGATGGCACCATCCGCTTCTATGGTCCAATTTCGGAACAAAGGAAACGGCCCAGGTATCATGTTCGACCGGTTGCAGTCAACAAACTACACCCTCGCACACATCAGTCAGAGCATTGAAATGGATTTCAACAATTATTCCATTGACTCCTGAGATGCCCTTTGAGATCCGGCTGACTCCCATCAATCATGCGAAAAGTTGTTCATATGTAGAGTTCCTTTTCCAATGCTGATGAGCTAGCATGGAGAGCCTCCCAGGTTGCTATAGTGAGCCAGGTTGCTATAGTGAGCCTCCCGGTCGGGCAACACGTTTTCCGTGTGCACCACATAGCGGTAGCCGTGCCGCTGTGCATAAGCCCGATGATTCGGTACTGAGAGCTCCAGCAGCGGGGACCTAGGGCCACCTACCTCTGAGACTCACTGACTTCATCTGATGTCCGGCCGGCGAGCCACATTTCTTTGTAGGATCTACGGTGAGACACGCCATCTTTATCACGGTCAATTGGAAGAAGGATGACTTGCCTATCAATCGTGCTAGTTCTCGGATGAACAGTTCCGGTTGCGCCTTGAGTGACGATCTGATCACTTGACATTCACACATATCAAATCATTCGACAAGCATGATGTGGCTCCATCATGGCACGCCGGCGGCACACACTACAATCGAAAAGCCACCGCGGTAGATTGAACTTTCCCTTATCCTCTTATTGAACATATTGTACCCTGTCTAGGGGATATCTACGGATCGATATATCTAATTATAAACCATGTCTCAAAAAATGTCAACGTGATCATTGAAGTTGAAACTCTAAGTCCTTTGATTTGAAGGTGTCCAACATCATTCAACCCCTCTTGCAACGGTCTAGCTGGCGGTCTACCTTGGTGGCGCAACATTTTCTGGCCCAAGTGACTCAAGGCTGGTCTTTGACGTTGGATCTGGCTGATACGCGCCTCAGCGCGGATGAACAGCGAGCCAGGGCAGCCGTCTTTAAAAGAGTGAGGCTGAAGAGTCCTGAAGAGTCGAATGCTGAAGAAAACAGCTCAAATGATGCTGGAAATACATCTCACCCAGCCCAGCCCAGCAGCAAATGGAATGTATTTCCACGCTCTGTGCACGGTCATGCTGCCAGGGCAGTGGGTGGACCCGCAAAGCTTCGTGGAGCTGGCCCAGCATGATCCTCAGTGTGACTCTCGACTGGGCGGTTTGGTGGAGCTCAGCACTCGCAACTCATCCAGGAATCGTCACACTTCGACGAATCGTCACAAATCGATTATACTTTACTTCTTTATCTGCTTGGTTTCCATCAGCTGCTTGGGTTTATCGCGAAGTCCATGGCAGCCACGTGAAATCCATGCGCACATATGCGCACCTTGAAAGGATAACGGAGCAACCGATCTTCTACTGGTGCAAATTAGCCCGATAATACTGTCAACGCCAGGTTCTGTTGGGCTGCATTGGTGTGGAGAAAAAATGAGAAACACACCAGCGCGGAAGGCTCGGGTTCGCCAAGGCTCTGGTATTGAATATGCAATCGGGGCAAGAAGCGCTTTGGCATCGCACTTTGTGACCGCACTGCCTGCGTGAGCTGTTCTGACATAGGGTGGAAGAGTAGCTGGAAGGCACCTAACGTGCCGAAAAAAGCATCCTCAAGCAAAACGTGTGATCCAGGACAATAGACTTTCACCAACGACGAGTCCATGGCGTCCGACCGTTTCTCGGTCGGACCGAGTACCTCGGACGCCCAAAAACGCCCCACGAGCCCGAAGCGATATATGTACAGGAATGATGGGGTATGACGAGGATTGTATATGGATCAATTGGATCTGAATCGGATCATTTGGGAGTCGATGGGCAAGGACACGTCCCCCTCCAAAACAGTCTTTGATGATGGGATCTCTTGCACCAGTCAGAAATTTGGATGCCCATCCTCATTCACTTCTCCGTGCACCGCTTTGATCTCATGATACAAATTGGCAAAGTCCTTGAGCGCTTGGAACTTGAAGGCGTTGCCTTTGTCGATTTCATGCTGGACCGCACCGGTCCAAAGGTACCAAGAGCCAACCCAAAGGGGGTTTCCTGGCAACCGGCTCAAACCTGGTCATGATTCTGTCACTAGGTCACTCATGAACAGGCGGTTGATAATGAATATCTCTGGGAGTCTGGGAAGGATATGAATTCCATTGAATTCTGGTAGATTAAGCTAAGAATAAGGTTTCTCGTCAGTTTCCGTTCGACCCATCTGACGCGTGGACGGCTCATGGGCATGACATGCAGCCAGCCAGCAGCCATGACTTGCAGCAGTGACTTCGGCCTGGTTGGTCAAACACCCACACTGTGCATGGACAAGCTGCTCTGCCTTGCTCTGCACTTGTGGTATCTATTGTGCTTCTTTTTGTGTCGCTCTTCACCATCCCAGCCACACTCCCAGCCACGCAACACGAGTCGTACCGAGCGTCCAAGCTGGATGAGGATCCGTGCCCTTCGAGGATAGTCCAATGAGAGAGACCACTCGGCGGTGCTCTGCAAGTGCTGCGCACAAAGTGCCGAGCACTGGAAAGCCGCAGGCAAGTGCTCCTCAAACCTGGGAATACGCTGCACGCTCCCTGAAACAATCATGGAAGGGGACAATGGCCTTTTGGATGAACATTTCCTCTACAAACAGGTGATGGTCCACTTCCATGGAATGTGACTCGGAGTGTAACCACCCTTGGTGTACCGGCGGTGCCCAGTTTTGAGGGTGTAAGAATGACTCTAACAAAGTTTTGCGCTGCATGTCCTAGGCCAGCCCAAATCCAGGAAAACGGCCAAACACATTTGGTGATGTCTGGTCCTTGGTGGGGAAGGTTCATCTACAGTTTGAGATGTCATCTGGTTTGGACACACTCAAGGTGTCTTGAAATGGATCTCTCACCACAAACCCGGATATGGATTCTCTGCCTCACTAGATTGGCTACGGCTGCTCATGCCAGTCCAGTCGAATGCTGAGCCACAGTCGCAGCAAGGCAGCCAGCCAGTGCGCCAGCGCCGCTGCACGGCTGGCGCGACCAAAGTTTCCAGCTAGGTGCGCACGCGCCTTGAGTCAGTCTTGTCCCAAGGTCAAGCACCTGGTGCTTATGGCGAAGGCGCCACGACATGAGCAACATGATCTACCTGAACACCCGTTGTTTGGCTGAAACATGGTCTCTCATGGCATCATTTAAGAACCATCTCTTTGGTATGCAGGGTGGCTCGGCTTGACCCACATCCCGACATCCATATGTTCTCCTCCTTTAACGGAAGTGGGTCCTTAATGTTTGAACAATCCAGAACTACTCAAATCATCTCAAATCCTGTTCACCTCATCAAATGACTGTCTTGACTGTCCGCCTCCAGTGAAGCCACTGTGGGTGTGTGCCAAGCGTTCAGCACCTCCCGGTCAGTCGAGGCAGGACACTCCTGGAACGCACCAGAGGGGATTAGGTCACCCAGACCGACTCTTGGAGCAAGATGAGCCTGTTGGAAGATGCTTTCAATGAGCTAGAAGCACACTTTACCAGGACCTATATATACTGTATATAACTTATTTTATATAACTACAGTATATATATATATAAATTCTTACATATATATATATATATTTTTTGGGGGGCCCTACAAATACCACCCCCAAGCTGTCCGTTCCTCCTCGAGGAGTTGCACGGCCACCAGGTCATATGGCCCTGCATCACTGCGCGAGCACAGCAGGAGGAGGGCGATGGTCACCGCAGCGAGCCGGGCGGACATGGCGCCAGCAACATGGAGAGTCGGATGGGTTGTCTTGTTCAGTGTTTTTTGTGGCAGACATTGTTTCAAGGCCAAGCCCTGAGAGCCTGTGCTGCCATTTAAACGGATGCCATGTTTCACCTGGCAAGAACTGACATAGATGTTCTAGAACCAGGAAAAAGAAACAATCCATGGCAAGAGGGACACATCTTCGTCGAGCTAAGTATGCTTGATATATCTCTTGATATTGTCTGAATGTTTGCCTCCGGGCCTGCCATCACCTACCCGGTTTCCGCGTACCGGTCGGAAACCCCGTGTACCGGTGCCGCTCCTCCAGCAGTTTGGTTCATATGCAAAGCTTTAGATGGACAATGCAACTATATCTTGTGTCCACCTGATCTTTTTTCACTGGTATCTCAAGAATGCTGAGTACGTCATGCTTCTGGGCCACGCCCTGACCATGGCGCTTTTCTGTCGACATAGTGCCGAAACTGCAACGACAAAGCTGGATGGAAACAACTGTACCAATCTCAAATCCAACACATATGACCAAATCCGCACGTAATCCCTTGGCCACTGCAGCACTTCTCCCTTAGTAAATATGAAAGCATCTATATATAATGATGGAGCTTCGTCGGCCTGCGGCTGTCACCCAGTTATAATATACATCCAACATCTTTCAATTAAATCCAAGTGATTAATTAGGATGTGGGTCCAGTCATACGGCCCCGCGAAGCACTTCTTGGGTTGGACCAGGTAGCTTCTTTTGGCTCACAGGTTCTCAGGTTTTCTTTTCCGCACCCCATAAACACTCACGTAGGCTACGGTAGGCGGGTGAGCAAAAACAAACATCATGAGACACGGTTTTCTTCTGAGTGCTCGAATGATTCATTGCAAAGTGCCCTTGGATCAATGTTTTCTCAGGCGCTCCAACCCCCAGTCGCTCACCATAGCGTCACTAGCCATGCCATATTTTACATAGTACATGGCCTATACAGCATGGAAGAATAGCCAGGTGCCACACTTCGACCGGTCCGTTTTTCTCTCCATCCGACCCTCCGAGCATCCGAGCCAGCCACCCGGGCCACGCGTCGAACCTGAAGATGCGAGCCACGGAGTCGGTGTCGGTGGGGAAGACTGGAGGAGGTTTCTGTGTACATGTCGCGGAAGTGGATCCACATTCCAACCCCCCCAAAAAACAAACAGGGTCGTCTTCCAAGCGTCCATGTATATCGTATGCAGCTATCCCCCCAAAGAAGGGGGGTGCTTCCAGGTGTCCAACTTTGTAGGTTGGAGGCCATCGCTTGTAGGTTGAAGGCCATCGCTCTTAGGTTGAAGGCCATCGATCGTAGGTTGGAGGCCATCGCTCGTAGGTTGGAGGCCATCGCTTGTAGGTTGAAGGCCATCGCTCGTAGGTTGAAGGCCATCGCTCTTAGATTGAAGGCCGCCGCTCTTAGATTGAAGGCCATCGCTTGTAGGAAGCACGCCATCGGTTGTAGGAAGAACGTTGAAGGCCATCCCTTGTAGGTTGAAGGCCATCGCTCTTACGTTGAAGGCCATCGCTTGTAGGTTGAAGGCCGTCGCTTGTAGGTTGAAGGCCATCGCTTGTAGGTTTGAAGGCCACCACTTG